TGAGCAGCAAATGAGCATATTGGTATGATTTCTGAAGGATCATGTGACACTGAAGACTGGAGTAATGGCTGCTCAAAATTCAGCTTTGTTATCACAGTAATAAATTACATTTAATAATATATTTAAATAGAAAATAGATGTTTTGAATTGTAGTAATATTTCACAATATTACTGTTTTACTGTATTTTTGATTAGATAAATTCAGAGATGTTGTAGAGACAGGAGTGAAGACAATTATCTGTATAATTTTATGTTTAATCTCACTGAAAGAGCATAAAATATGTTTAAATGTACCAGTGGTGGATGGACACATAATTATACCTCCTTAGTAACTTTTGCCTCAAAATCTTTTGCATTAAGAGGGTCAGAGACGCCACGGAAGCAGTACAGACAAAATCAAGCAAGTGCAAATGGCCATTTTGCTTCTGAACAGGGTTCATGTTGTGTTAAATTGTTTGCTCTCCACTCCAGTTATGCTTTAATACAATGTGATCCTCTTCAGCACAATCCAAACTACAGAACAGTCTGCTTAAACAAACAGACAACCGCAATTTCCATTTTCCAGAGCAACTCGCAGACGTGTGGGCTTTGATGACAGGTATTGCTCATGGCAGGCACCTGGCTAAGCTTTAGAGGAGATGGGGCACTGAAGTTCAACCTGAGGCACTTCCTGATTGGTCTGTAAGGTTGCCTTTCAATGTCAGAGTAGTTATTATGTGACTTGTTTGGTATTTAAATTAAATATTTCAATTGTTTGTGGCAATCGTCATTATTGTGATAATTTATCATTAAATTATTAAAATAACTAAGAAAAAGTCTGCTGGACTTCAGGTGCCACACAAATTAACATTAATGTATATTAAAATGTAATTTATTCCTGTGAAAGTGAATCTGAATTTTCAGCATCATTACTCCAGTCTTCAGTGTCACATGATCCTTCAGAAATCATTCTAATATGCGGATTTGGTTCCAAAAAACATTTCTTATCATTATCAATGTTGAAAGCAGTTGTGCTGCTTATTTTTATTTCTTTATTTTTAATTCATAACATTTTTTTTTTTTTTTTTTGTGGAAATCTTTTTTTCAGGGTTCTTTGATTAATAAAGTACAAAAGAACAGCATTTATTTTAAATAGAAACATTGTAAATGTATTTACTGTCCCCTTTGATCAATTTAATGTATACTTGCTGAATAAAAATGTTTATATATTTAAAGAAAAAGTCTTATTGACTCCAAACTTCTGAACGGTATGCAAGTATAGAGTTATGTCTCAGTCCTTCACTATTGTTGGTGATCTCTTATCACCCATGTTCTCAGAGTTGTGGTCTGGACAGCTGGTGCTTGATGGTCTTGGACATTAGACACCTCAATAACAGATAAAGCTGAATAAGATGCCTCTGGTCTGAGGACACCTGTGTGTTGAAACTAAATCCATGTTTTCTTATCAGTAGGATGTCTTTTTGTTACTCTGGGCTTACCTTACTTAACTCATTCTCTCTTCATGTCATGCAGGGCTTGATTTTATCCGAGCTTCAGATTATTTCAACTGCAGGCATTCTCTATCTAGATTAAGAATGAGGATAATCAGCAAGTTTTTTCATACAATAATCAGCGTTGCATTGAATATTTAAGTGTGAGATTTTTTAGTTGGCCAGATAATATATCAAGTATATGTTTATATATGTTTTTAAAGTTATAGTTCACCAAAAATACAAATTGTCATAATTTACTTAAGGCTTTTTCTTCTGAGGAACACAAAAAATGATCTGAACATGAAAAAGCATGAACACTTTTCTAAACGTCTCCTCTTGTGTTCTCATGAAGGAAAAAAACCTTATAATAAATGATAACAGAACTTCCATTTTTGGATGGACTATCCCTTTAATCTTTTCTCTTGTAGAAACTATGATTGCACAAATGTGTCATTAACTGAATTACTTTTAATTCATCGTAACACCTGTCTGTTTCATTTAAAGATTTATCACCATACATCTGCTATGTTATCTCTGTTCAGCAGCATCCACATGAAACACATTTCCACGTGTTAAGTTCTTACTAATGTAATACTGAAAGCCATGGGGAAAATCCAATTCATTACCTTCAGACTTAACTTATTATAGAGGTCACCACATTTATCAAAGCTGTGTCAAAACATTCTTAAATTGTTTGTTGACATTCCCAGTCGACAAACAGCTTGTGGGACCAATCTCCAGGTAAAAGCGAAAACCGATATGTACTTGTGTGCTCCTTTTCAATACCGCCTTATACCTTCAGTGGTGAAAAGGATCACTTTGAGGAAACCTGATGCTCTCTAACATGGCTGTGCTGTGCCACTCTGCATTGTCTGAGAGGTCAGGAGCTACACAGCAACAGGAGCTCAAGGCTGCCAGCTTGAGTCTGTTTAATCATTTTTCTGAGATCAGCATGGCTAACAAAATAAACAGGAGGAAATCTGTTTTTCCCACCTCAGACAGGAAAGCCATTATAATTCTACTGGACATATACATTGATTGTACCAATTTGTATTGACTTTGAATTGATGCAGAGAAACTGTTTAAAAAAATAATAATAATTAGAAAATGTATTATTATTATTATTATTACTCTGTTAAATTGAATGGCTTTCTCATGCTAGGTTTTATGAGTAAGCTTTTTCCATAGAGAATTAAATGTGTGAGTTGTATACAAAATTAGAAAAATTGATTCAACAAAATGAATGGAACTGATTACTGGCTGGATTGCCATCTGACTCGCTGAAGAAAGCACACAAAGCAGTTTAGTCAAGCACTTCTGAAAAATGTGTAATCTGCCCCAGCTTTCGTTTCAGTAATGTAAACCACAGAGCTCCGTGTTTAAGCCATGTGCTTTTCTCCAGGCTTATTTTAGTCTTTCAGAGGGATTTTTTGAAAAAGTATCTCACTAAAGAGCAGCACGATCCTTTTTCATTTAATTTTATTTAAAGTAAATGTAAATGGTGAAATGTCATTTCAATATTTTTGAATTTCAAGTAAAAAAATTTTAATTTGACTTCTATAAAGTTTTTATGCTGATGGTCATTATTTCAACCTGGTCTCATAAAAATACGTAGCCTACCTCTGGGTACTTTTCTGCAACACCGTTTTTCCGTACCTTACTGCACGTTTCGCTGCAGTTTCAAAGAGAAATGTATGGTGGGTGAGAAGTGCAAAGCAAATCACAATTCTGAAAATCCATTGCTAATACGAGATTTGAAAAGGGAGGGAAAAAAAGTTCGACAAAAGACGGGATCGAACCCCGGGTCAATCGCGTCAAAAAGCCAACAATACGCACTTATCCATCTGCGCCACTGGAGCTGATGATTTACAGCTACTTTTAACTAAATGTAAATAGACACCCCGTATTTTTTATTCCATAGTAAGGGCAATTCATACAATACATTTAAACTGAGCTTCTTTAATACCATCTCCGAACTTTCTACCACGACTCTGCTGTTCTACGGCTGGTTCTTCCCTGTATACGTTGATTGACAGATGTCTCGTCCAGTCAGCGGTGAGTAATCCCAAACCAATGGCGCTGTCTCAAACTATACTTACCTCTTTTGGTAGAAAGTTCGGAGATGGTATTAAAGTAGCTCAGTTTAAATGTATTGTATAAATAGCCCTTACTATGGAATAAAAAATACGGAGTGTATATTTACATTTAGTTAAAAGTGGCTTTAAAACATCAGCTGCAGTGGCGTAGATGGATAAGTGCTTGTTGTTGGCTTTTTGACGCGATTGACCCGGGGTTCGATCCCGTGGCGCTAAAACACAGGTTCAATACGTGAACCCTGGCACATTTTTATTACGTTGCTTCAGGTACGTATTGCTGTGTTTTTATTACGCTGCTTCAGGTACGTATTGCGGCGGTTCAGAATTCAAATATCCGGGGACTGTCGCTAAAAGTTAATGCTCTGTCGTGTTGGAAATATGCCCTACACCAAACCCAACCCTAAACCTACCTGATAGTTATGTACATTAAGCAATAAAAAATAAAAAAAACCTACCTGATAGTGTTAACAAATGCGAAACGGATATAAAAACGCATTTGTTTATGCAACTGTGAACTTCCTTATATGCAGATTTGAACTGTTTTGTCGAACCGTACTTACATGGGATTCGAACCAGAGCTCCTCACTTCTCAAGTATGTCTCCGTACTCCGTGAACTACAGAACAAACCTACCGTCTATGAAAACCCATAGATATGAAGCTGGAAATGTGCGATGCTAACATTCAAAAGCATCAGTTTTCAAATCTCCCAGCATATTACAATTGTAAAAGTCATAACATAATATTCCTCAAGTAATTGTGCGAAAATTACGCTTTATTAATCGAAACTCTGTGTGTGAAAAGGAATAAAAGGTGTCGGAGTTTTACTGCCTCTAGTGTTCATTTCTTTTGAAAACTGCAGTGATACGTACTTATTGGTATGTATTTTGCGTCTCGCGAAAAAGTGCCCCCAGGTACGTTTTTGCCAGGTAGCATTATTTTTTAACAGAATCTATCAAAAATGTGCCACACGAAGCACATTAATGTTTTGTCCCATTAAATTTGATCCTATTTAATAGATTGTAAATATATAACTATTCATTTTGTGGTGTTCATCAAAGATGTTTCATGTAAGCATGGCATTCAGTAATTGAAAACAATAGATGAGTGTTTGTTCTGCTGCCAACAACCAAAGCAAAAGGCTAAGAGGGTCACTGTTGCTGAGGGTCAGGACATTGGCAGACTGCTGACATTGTCATTGATATAATGAAGCACTTGCTGGAATAACAAGCATGCCTCTTTGTGTCCAGTGTTTTGGAGATAACTCCGCTTTTGATCTGCTTTAATCCTATAGACTCTAGAGTTTTCTTTCTATCTTCAGCAGATGTTTCTTTATTCCCTTGTTAAACTTCATTTATTTGGTGCCTATAGTTAATGAAGTTGTTTTGTATGACTCTAGTTTTATGTTTTTTAATAAATTGTTTTGTTTAACAGGTGCCGTGTTGGATCTGGGTAACTGCTCATGTGAGTTTTCCTCCAGCTATGGAACCCTGGCCTCTCATGGCCTGGGGCCTAATGCTGACCGCCATCACCGGCTGGATCAAAGCGGTTCAATCGAGGGACTTCACAGAAAAAGACATTGTTTTTCTCCATCCCTCACGTAAGTATTTCTTCTTTCTTCTTAGATTCTGCCAAAGATAATTAATTATAACTAGTTATGATTAATTATTCATATTTCCCCATGAGCTGATTCGCTACAGCCTTGAAAATGGAACCGGTATAATCCATGTTTTTCCTGAGTCATCTGGAAGATCAAAAGGGTCAGACATCAGCTGTCAGTCATGACTTCTATAAAGGCTGGTGGGGAGCTGTTACACCTTCAGGTTCTGAACGCAGGCAGATTTATTCCAAATGTGGTGTTCTAGATTTTCTATTGTGTCCTATAGGAACTTTCTTGATTTAAAAATTTTTAGTTATTTTGGCTGGAAACAAGACAAAAGATCTAAGCTAGAAAAGCATTTTTTGCAGTGTAATAATTGGCCAGGCCTTCCAGGCTGTATTAGTGGTTGAGCATCAGGCCAGTGACCTGTAGCTAAACTCAGCGTCTCAGCTGACATAGCAGCTGTGTTAAGATCCCCCACTCTAAAACTCATGGATTGCCCACCATGCCTGCTGATGCTAAATCAATTGTTCAAAGCATGTGGCAATGGCCATGGGTAAGTGTAGCCTTTCCTTCATGGGGAAATTGTTCCGCCCAT